GCATAGTAGTAGCACAATGGATGAAAGTTTGGTTTTTTCAACAATTTTATGGTTTCTAATAAACGATTCTTTAATTATGCAATCTATAAATAGAAGATATTATAATGGTAATTGAAAATTAAAAATTCTCATTTACTTTAATTTAATATAGTTGTAATTTAAATAATTATTATGAGCAGCCCCCAGTTCATAGTTAATTCATGATTTACTAATATTGCCAAAGAATATGTTTTCTTTTATTGATATATTTATTTTAATATAATTTTGAAATTAATAAATATGGTTAAATAGTATACTCTAGTTGATATTTAAGTATTGAATATAATATATAAGCAATTAGTTTAAAAATAAAAAAAGGAAATATGATTATTTAGAATCATATAAATTAACAGAAAAAACATTCATATAAAGAGAACATATTTGATATATCTATGAGATATGATACTAAGATATAAATTTTTAGTTTCTGAATCAAGAAATTAATTGGTAAATTTAATTTTTTAAAGATGACATGAGCAAAATGTTGGCTATTAAGCAAATCATGACAATTTCTTAAAAATGTATTTCAAAATAAGTTCTAAAATTTTTGTCAAATTTTATACATAATTTTTTTTTAATAATATCTCCTAATTTGTATTTAATATGATGCTCTATCCCAAGTGATCAAATATTCTCCATCATCAGTCATTGCTCCCAAAAAAAAACCAATTGCAAAATGAATAGATTATTGAATTTATATATTATTAAGGAAATTTTGGATTGCACTCTAATCCACTCTTTATAAGAATATCTCTTGTCTTTGTAAACTATTTATTATTAATATTCATCTCAAAAACAAAATATCTATTCTTTACAACCTTGGTGAGAATGTGAAATATGGAATAAATAAATAAACTCAATAAAAAAAGATGTGAATTTTATAATTGATGCATTGGTATGTAAGATTATAGAAAATGCCCATTTATTTTTAATAATATAATTATTTTTTATATTAAAAAATTACTTTCAAATGAGTCAATAAAATAATATAATATTTTTAGGAAAGTTTGAATATAGATGCTTAGCAGGCAATCACTTTGAATAAACTAATTTAGATTCCTCAGATGAAAGTAATGATGATTCTGAAGTTAAAAGTTATGTGGAAAATAATAATATGGGAGGATAAGAGGAGAATTAATTTTCATAAATGTCAGATTATTCTTTAAAGGAAGATCGTTACTATGTTGGTTAAGTAAAATTGTCACCGAATTAGCAATATATTGCATTTGGAGTAAAAAAATCTGAAAGTAGCTCCAAGAAGTATTTTCACTTGATCTTCAATATTTAAACTTAAACAATATTGTATTAAGAAGAATAATATTATGAAAACTTTATATTTACGTCAGATTCTAAATACATCATCTATTGCTAAGCCTATAAAATTTATTTGACAAAATTAGAAACAATATAGAATAAAGAGTTAATCGAGGGAAATTTTGCAGAATTACTCACTGAAGATTCAAAAAATAATATTTACTTTCGAAAAAATAATTACTTATATCTTTATTCTATTGAAAGAAAAGTAACATCTTCATTTATTATTAATGAATCTCTTGAGGGTCAATGTATTCGTTAAGCTTATAAATTGCATTCAGACTTAATCTATTTAGTTTCACAAGATTCTAACTATATTATCAATTATCCTTCTAACAAAATTTTATAAAAGCAAAGAAATTAAAAAGGCTATTGTGATAATGTGATATTTAAAAATTTATTTCTCATTGAATGGGATCTTGAAATTGATAAAGCCTATTTAAGTTATTTAAAAAAACAAAAATTGATTAGAAAATTCAAGAATAGCCAGGAAGGGTCAAGCGCAATATTTAAAAATCAAAATTCTATATATAAGTATTTTTTCTTTCTTGATTCAGAAAATAGTAACATTGATCAAAGTTCATACGAATAAATTTATTAACTAATGCCATTATCACATCTAAACTTAGCTTAGGAAAATATAAGTAACTTATCTATGAGAGAATTTTCATGACAGATCACCTATTAATCATAATTGATTCATTTAAGTTCAGATTTTTTTAGTATGACTTGTAATAGATAGATCAAATATGAGTTAATTATATATAAAAAATTAATTGAAAATGATTATAAACTTGTTTACAGAAGTAAATTTCTTAGTTTGCCAAATTCATTATTTTAGAGATATTGGAAATTATTTAAATTCTTCTGTCTTTCTTGTTGTATGAAAATTTGAGATATTTGATTTTCTAGAAGAATGGCAATTAGAGAACACTTTGATAAGGCTTTTAGAATTACTATCAAGATCCAAACAGAACGTATGTTTTAATTATTATTTTAATCAAATTTACAAAAATGCTCTTTCTTTTTCTTCATAAAAAAAATGAGGAAATTGAAAATACTTCTTGATGCTCCAAATATTAATCCAAAACAGAAGAACATGTAAACATTTTAAATATACTGTTATTAAATGCTTGCAATTTTTATCTAATTATTTTTTATTTATTTTATAAGTGCGTTTTTATTAACTGTTACACTATATGTTAATTTATTTTTTCTAAATATAACTATTGAATATATAATCGAAACAAATAACTTGATAAATTGTTGCCATTAATTCAAAAACATCATCCTTTTATCCAAGAAAAAACTAAAAAAATAATTAATCAGATTCTTTATTTTATTATAATGATAAGGTTAGATTGCTGATTAAACCATCAAAAACAAAAATAGTATAAAAACTATTCTAATTTATCATAAATTATTATCATAATTGAGAAACCTTCTAAGTTTATTCTTAATAATTTATATCGAATTAAATTTCTCTTAAATTTGACCAATATCAATTATTAACTTAAGAATTCTTCCTGATAGTGAAATCTATGGAAGAATTATATTAGCAGAAAAAAAGA